AATAATGATAACGACAATGATTATTTATTATAAAGACAGAATTTTTCTTGTTCTTTATTATCATATTTATTATTATACTTTGGCACATTGTTAATAAAAAAAAATAATAAAAAAATGCAAAGAGAAAACCTCAATTTACTTGATTTACCGGCCCCACTTCATCAAATTCTTCCATTGGGTTACAATTATAAAATAAAAAATTATTCCGAACTTGAACCAATAATTACAGCTGAAAATGTGAATATCGGACAAGTTAGCGTAGATTTGTATATAGATATTAATACCAAAGAACTTGCTTTGGATTGGTTAAACAATTTTCATGAAGTTTCGAAAACTACTATGAGGCTCACCCGAACTTATCCGGTCAAAGGAAGCAAAGTTATTTTTCGAGAAACCCGTCACTGTATTCATAGTCATAGGGTGAAACAAAAAAATAAGAATCGTGAGGTTAAAAATCCTAATAGCTTACGAAATAGAGACACAAATTGCACAGCTACACTTAATTTTAAGCTGAAAACATCTAATGTCTCAACTTCTCACCTGCTAAAGATTAACCTTTGTTTCACCCACAACCACTTGCCAAATTCAGCAGCTTCTTTTAGCTTCCGTCCAGTTAGTATAGATACGCAAGAACAATACATAAACTTGTTTAATATAGGGCATACAGCAGCTTCAGCGAAACATATATATGAGGATAAACTGCACTTATCTGCATCAAATAATGATGAACTTGCACGTTTGCTAGCCGATCGAGCTAAAAATCCAGATAGAGGTTTTGTGCGTAATCTTTACAACCAATTTCGTATTGCTCAACTAGGTGATCGAAATGGAAAAGGCATGTTTGATCGGCTACAAGAGATAGTTGATCAATATAATAAATCAAATAATGGAAAGGTGATTCTTCAAATATATAATTCAACAACTAGTACGCCTTTCATTCTTTGTATTGTTACAAGTTTGATGATGAGAGTACATAAAAAAATTCATCAGGCTGGCGAACTTTGCTACCTAGACGCATCTGCTGCATTCGATCCACTTAACATATCAGTTAGTCTTCTTTATACGAGTTGTATGGTTGGTGCACTCCCATTGGAAATATTTTTAACATCGGATGAAGCTGAAGTTACAATTGAAAATGCCATTAATTTACTTAAAACTATTTTACCTGCTAATTCATTCTATGGACGTGGTCCACATATTGGCCCCCAAGTCATTATTACTGATGATTCTAATGCTGAGCGTAATGCTTTACAGATTTGCTGGCCAACCTGCACCCGCTTACTATGTATTTTTCATGTTTTACAAGCCTTTTGGCATTGGTTGTATGATTCGAAACATAGAATTAACAAAGATGACCGTATTCCAATTATGAACTCCTTTAAATTTGTTTTGTATGCACCTACTATTCCTAAAATGGATGAAGCATTTGTTAGATTTAGTGAACTATATTTTACTAAATATAGGCAACTTGCGTCACATTGTACACTTCTTTGGGAACGACAGGCTTCATGGATACTATCATTTCGGACAGATTTGTTATTATGTAAAAATTACACTAATAATTATGTCGAAAGAAGCTTTGGAATTTTAAAAGACATTGTTTTTGCAAGAACTCAAGCATACAATGTCATACAAATATTTCAATATATTATATTGAATATGGAACGTTTTTATGAAAGAAGGTTACTAAGTATCGCTAATCGATGCTTTGGTCATTTAGAGTTATCAAAACGTTTTCTTTGTCCTGGCTGGACAATGGTAAATCAGAAGAGAATTCAACATGATATAAATAATAACATATACATAGTACCAAGTGTCACAACTATTGGTAAAACTTATATAGTCGATCCATCTATTGGGACATGCACATGTGTTGTGGCACTTGGAGGATCACCGTGTAAACACCAAGCCGCGGTTGCAGTTAAATTTCATGAAGGATCATTTAATTTTATTTCCGCTCTTACTATTGATGATTGTATGACCTACTACTATATTGCTTGTGGTAAGTAAACTTAAATAATTATATTTGTATAAGGGAATGTTATTATTGTATATTTTAAATAATAATTATACGCATTTTTAAAGGGACTATCGCAAACGATTTCACATTTTATGCATCTTTACGTGCATCGGTTATAGTGGAAAATGATCAAACAACTAATAATAATAAAGTTTTACAGGATGTTGATCTTACTTCCGAAAATATTAATGTCATTAAAGATGCACCTACTGTAGACAGTAGCGATTGTGCTATGATTTGGTAATACAGTATAGCATATAAATAGTTAAGATATAGTAAAGTTACTAATTTTTTAAATTTTTTTTTTTTTGAAACGAATTGACTGACATAGTGGACATGAGTGCACGTGTTGAAGTCATTGAAGATTTTTTTCATCGTATTATTGATAAAGCGAAAAATAGTAGTCAACTACTTGCGGGTCTTGAATATTTTAAAAAAGGTTACGAAAAAGCCGAATCTTTGTCAAATGGGAAGTTGACTTCTTATCTTTATCAACGTAACTCTACCACACGAGCTGAATCGATACGAAGTGAAGCAAAAATTAAGGTGCAACCAGCATCTATTCAACGAAGAAAACGTAAGAAATCTCAAGAGAATGTTGACCCGACTATTATTGGTGTGCGTAAAAAGAGAAAAGTTCCAAAAAAAGCACACAAATTATCAAGAAACATCACCGAAAATAAACAGAATTAAAAAATTACAATTTTAAATTAGTTATTAAATATCAATATGTATTCGACAAATTTGTTACATATACATTATATATATATATATATATTATTTATTGACAAACGATAACGATAATAAAGTTGAAATTTTATTTCGTCTTCCGGAGTAGTCATCCGGACTATCACGTGGTCATCCAGATCAGAACCTTGTACACATTTTCGGTATACTACTAAATGCCACAATATAAGAATTTTAAGTATCTTTAACAAAAATCCCAAATTTTTTTACACAAATCTTAAGTATTCTTGCACAAATTTCAAGTGCTTTTGCACAGATCCAAGTGTCTAAACACAAGGCTCAAGTGTTTTAAACATAAATAACAAATAAAATAAACAATATTCTCAGTTATCTTTGTATAATATTTACTATTCTAAGCACAGTATTATTTAATATTATTCAAACCTTCACTATTTCAAGTATAATTATATCTAATATTGTTTAAATCTCTACTACTTTGTGTATAATATTAAGTAATATTACTCAAATTTTTACTATCTCTGCTAAATAAAAAGATAAAAAATATTTTTTTTTCCTTGCCAATTTTAAGTTTCTATACTTTAACCTAAAACTTCCTATTTTTACTTCTAATTTGTAAAAGTAATATTTTTTCTTTAAAGTAATTTTTATAAGCAAAGTTATTACTATATATTTATTTAATAAAGTTAATCTATATATTGTTACTATCTCAAACTATTTGCCTACTGCTATGTAGTAAAGTAAACTACTACACCTTCATTCTATATATATTTGCAATAATTAATCACTGTACTAGGTAATTTTGTTACTTAGTTGTATTGTAACAAGAAGGCTGCAATTTTATAACAATATACTAATGTACTATTAGCTTGATATTGCAAGAAGGCCTAGTAACTTAACTTATTGCATACAGATATAATATTTATTATCTAAGTTATAATATATAACTGTTTTGAAAAATATTTATCTAGTATTTTAGAGAAACTTGTCTAAGATGTTTTAATTTTAGTTAGACTAATTTTTGGTTACAGCCTTCTTTGCATATACAATATTGCTTATTATTTTAGTTATAGTTATATTATATTATTTTCTTAATCAATTATTTTGCAAGTTGAATATAAAAATATTGCTGCTATTCTGTTTTCTAAAAAATTACTTGCATAATACTGTTGTGTAGCTAAATTTTTTGTAATACTACTATTGCATAGTGCTTTTCTTTTGCAAATTCAATCTTTTTTAAAAATTTCTAATCTGTTTTTGTATTTTAACTTAAAACTTTTTACAAAATTTTGCATCTGATTTAATTTCTATTTTTAGATTAGAGTTAAAATTTTAAGATTTTGCTTTTAGCCTAATTCAAACTATATAAAAAAAAAACTAAACCTAGAAAACAGAACTAAAACTTGTAAAGCTAAGTAAATTATTGGTCTTTGAAAAAAAGCTATTATAACTAGTCAGGCTATTAAAACTCATTGAAGAAAAAGATTATATATCAGAATATATATAAATAAAAGATATAGTTATATTTACCTTTTTAGACTATTTGAATTAAAAGCTTGGTATAACTTAAATTAAACACCAAAATAATAAAAATATATTGTAAAGTAAGTACCAAGATTAGAATAAACTTTACAAAAACATATCAGTTTAATAATAAGTTCTAATTGCAAGTATTATAGCATTACTAAGTTAACTATAAAAATAAAATATAAAATATAAAAGATTTTAAAGATTTAGTACAAAGTTAAAGATTTCTTATATAAGTAAACTGCTTTAAAGATTTAGTAACTATAGTATATTTTTATTAGTATCAACTAAGATTATTGATAAATATAGATAAATAAATAAATACAAAAACTAGAGTATTTAAATAGATATAACAATTAGTATAAAATCTTTAGATAAACTACTTAAATTAGACAATAAATAATATTGCATAAAAGAAATGTAGCAACCTAGTGAAGTAGTCAGGTTGTCAACTCTCCAAGTAGTAAGTTGAATGTTTAAATTTTATTAACAGTAAAAATTTAAATAATCACTTATATAATATTCATATTATAGCAACTGTTACTAATAATTAAGTTAGAATATCTGTAATAGTAGTTACACTAGCATGACTGGCAGGTTATGAGGCATCTGTATAACTTGTTATGCAGAGAAATGCAAACTGACTTATTGAACAGTACAAACACTAAATAAGTTCTTTTAACTATATAAATCTATTAAAAATAGATAACAAGAAGTCTATTTGAAAAGAGCTGAGTAGAGAGGTAGCCAAATCTTTAACAGCCCTACTGTAAAGACTAGCTCAGAGAAATAGATACCAAGATTATAGTACCTGATTATAGTAACCAGACAGACAAAAACCTTCAAGTTGGAAGTCTTGGAGGTACTACTAACCAGGCTGCTAGAATGAATTAGAAAAAAAGAATATCAAGCTAATCTGATATACAAATAGACTGGTTGTAGTTCTACATAAGCTATTTGAATTAGAAGTTTAGTAAAAAGACTAGATAAAAGGCAAGGGTATACTAAAGTACTAAAGTTATGCTATAAAGTAGATGCTAAGATCTGTGTAAACTCTATAAGAATACAGCAGTTAAATAATATAACTCTGATTGCAAATGTTGGTTTTGCTATAGTAATACTTAGATTAGCTGTAAAAATGAATACAGAAGGCTTTAAGGGGTTTACCTTAAGAATAAATTAATTCTAAGGTTAAAATGATAATCTGAGCATTTGAATATGACTCAGTGAATTAACAAGATTACAGATTTAGAGGGTTTAAAGTGAAATATTCAAGCAGAGATGTTAGATATGACAATTGATAAAAAACCTTTGGGCAGACTCTTTAAATAGGTAATATAAAAAAATTACACATATAGTCAATTGTACTCTTTTCTGTAATAGTTTATAGAATCACATTACTAATAAGTTATTAATAAAAGTCAAAAGATCAAAGAGGTTACTTTAATACTAAAAGGAACTAATATTATATAAGTAGTTAGTTATATACTCTTTTTATAATTGCTTTTTGCAATTGTTATACAACTATTAGCTAAATATATTATTAATAAAATTTTATATTATAAGTATTTATCATAATATTTAAAAAAAAAATTAAAAAATTTTTGTTATATATTATTAGTAATTATTAATAATAATACTTAATAAAAAATAAAATACTCTAACTTATAATATTTCTTATACTTTAAATAATAAAACCATTATTTTTATTTTTTTTTTTTTATTCTAAATACTCTGTCTTTAAAAAACAACTTAAAAATACAAACTTATCTTTTTTGACCATTTTACTATCTATAATATTCATACTTATTATATTGGCAACACATCTTTCTTAAACTAAACAAACTCTCTAGAGGTGCTATATCTCAATAGTTTACTATTATTAAGAATATTACTACAATTTATTTCTATCAATACACTTTATATAATTACTTTAATTTACCTCAAACTACTTTTTTTATACTATTAGTTACTTTAATTCTAATATCAAATTCTAATTACTTATTGTTTTTAATAATCAAATAATTATTAGCAAAACCAGAAGTTATAATAGCTTCACAGACCTTATTCTTATTACTTACTGGTGTTGCTTATTCTAGTCTCAGTTAGAGTTAATATTTGAATCCAAATTTATATTTATATTTAAATTAAACCAGATTTATTTTAAATCCAAATTCAATTTTTAAAAATATATATTCAGATTAAATGTTTTTTTTTTTTTTTTTTTTTTGGTATTAAGGTGAGGCCTTGCTCATATCTTTATTGGTAGTTTAAAAATTAGTAGC